GGAATTTCACCACCCTTAAAACCCCTAAACTACTCATACTTTTTTAAACAACTCCCACAAACCCCACTTTCCTCATCCAATTCTTTAACCCACTTTTTACACTCGGGGCATTGCTCTTTATCACTAACTCCACTCTGGCAGTCATAATCAGCCATTTCTTTTTTTATTTTGACTTTGACTTCGGTCTGAATTTCCTTTTGGGCTTCACAAGAGTAACAATCACATTTAATCTTGCCTCGTTCCTCATGAAATTTGGCTAACTCTATTTCTTTTTCATAGGATTTACCTTGCTTTTCCTGTTCCTCTAACTTGGTAGTTAATTCATTTTCTTTTCTAACTTTTTCATAACCTCAATACTTTATTAATCGTTGTTACTTGCTTGAAGCGTCATTTTTTCCTAATACTGGCTCACAATATTCATTAACTTTTTCCGTATAGAAAATTACTCCGCCGCCCAAACAAATATTATCGTGATAAAAAACGGCATATTGTCCGGGAGTAATAGCTCGTTGCTTTGCTCCAAACTCTACTAACAACTTATCAGGTGAATTAGACAGTCCAGTAATAATCTTTACCGGAATTTCCGGTTGCCGATAACGAAATTTAGCCGTTATATTCTGCTTGCTGAAATACTCCTTTAATTTTTCTTCTTTAACTAACCAGTTAATATTTTTTACCAGGCACCATTTATTATATAATCAATTATTATCTCAGCCATTAGCCACATAAATTAGGTTTTTTTTTACACTTTTTCCTACCACATAACTAGGACTTTTTTGTCCGCTAAGACCTAAATTGCGCCGCTGACCAATAGTAAAGTAATAAGTTCCACGGTGTTTACTAATCACTTTTTTACTATCAATATCTATTATTTTTCCCTCTTGGGGGGGGAAGTAGTTAGCCAAAAAACTTTCAAATTTCCGTTCACCAATAAAGCAAATGCCAGTCGAATCTTTTTTGGTAGCGTTGTTTAATAATATTTTGTGGGCTAACCCCCGCACTTCCTTTTTAGTTAAATCCGCCAGCGGAAAAATTAACTTGCTTAATAGCGACAAATTAATTTGACAAAGAAAATAAGTTTGGTCTTTGTTGCTATCTTGGGGCTTACTTAAATAAAAATTACCGTTTTCATAAACAGTTTTGGCATAATGACCGGTCGCCAGTAAATCAGGAGCAAAAGTTTGCTCGGCATATTCTACAAAATAACGAAATTTAATAACACTATTGCATAAAACATCGGGATTGGGAGTGAGACCCTTTGCTAAATCTTTTAAAAAATTAGTAAATACTTTTTCTCAGTATTCTTGAATAAAATTAACTTTATAAAGGGAAATATTTAGTTGTTTGGCTATTTCCTGAGCGTCTTTTCAATCTTGCTCTTGGGAGCAAAAAGAAACGGACTGATTACCTAAATAATCATCTCAGTTTTGCATAAAAATTGCTTTCACTTCATAATTTTGCTTTTTTAAAAGATAAGCGGCTAGGGCTGAATCTACCCCGCCACTGAGAGCAATAATAACCAATTTTTTCTTGGTTCTTGGCAAAGAAATAACCATATTCAATAAAATTTTAGTATATATTTTGACACTAACCGGAGCAAAATTATTAATATATATGAAAGTGGACCTAATAAAAAAAAAATATTCTCTCCATGCTACGGATACTGGTTCGACTATAATACAAATAATTTCTTTACAAGAAGAAATTGACAAAGAAAAATTACATTTGCTAACCAATAAAAAAGATATACCAGCCAAACGAGCGTTATTAAAGAAGGTTGCTAAAAAAAAAACATTTTTTAAATACTTAAAAAGGAGTAACCCGGCTATTTATGAAAAATTAAAAGAGGAATTAAAGTAAAGAAAATTGTCACTAAAATAAATATATAACGATAATGATGAAATCCAATTACGGGTTACTTGTTATCCCAGTTAAAACAATAGAAGTATATCTTTGAAAACTGGACAGAACTAATTAAAGCGTGTGAGTAAATCTCACAGTTTATTCTTTTTAAGAGTTTGATCCTAGCTCAGGATTAACGTTGGTAGTATGCCTAACACATGCAAGTCGAGCGGAAAGTAGTAGCAATATTACTTTTAGCGGCGAACGGGTGAGTAATGCTTATCTTACTTGCCAATTAGTGGGGGATAACCCTGGGAAACCAGGGCTAATACCGCATTGGTTGCTTCGGTAATGAAAGGGGGTCGCGAGGCTCTCGCTAATTGAGAGGGATAAGTCGTATTAGTTTGTTGGTGGGGTAATGGCCTACCAAGACTATGATGCGTAGCCAGTCTGAGAGGATGAATGGCCACAAGGGAACTGAGACACGGTCCCTACTCCTACGGGAGGCAGCAGTGAGGAATTTTCCACAATGGGGGCAACCCTGATGGAGCAATACTACGTGAAGGAGGAAGGTCTAAGGATTGTAAACTTCTGTTAGTGCGGAAGAAGAACTGAACGTAAGTTCGGTTTTGACGGTACGCACAGAGAAAGCGACGACTAACTATGTGCCAGCAGTCGCGGTAAGACATAGGTCGCGAACGTTATCCGGAATTATTGGGCGTAAAGGGTGCGTAGATGGTAGAATAAGTTAGCAGTGGGAAATCGAGGCTCAACCTCGTGGAAGCTGATAATACTGTTCTACTTGAGTACAGAAGAGGTTAACGGAACTCCATGTGGAGCGGTAAAATGCGACGATATATGGAAGAACACCAATAACGGCGAAGGCAGTTAACTATTCTGTTACTGACGTTGAGGCACGAAAGCGTGGGGAGCAAAACGGATTAGATACCCGTGTAGTCCACGCCCTAAACGATGAGTACTAGGTATTGGGCAGTTTAGCTCAGTGCCGCTAGTTAACACGGTAAGTACTCCGCCTGGGTAGTACGGTCGCAAGGCTAAAACTCAAAGGAATTGACGGGGACTCGCACAAGCAGTGGAGCATGTGGTTTAATCCGATACAACGCGTAGAACCTTACCAAGGCTTGACATATTCGGCAAAACTAGGGAAACCTAGCAGAGGTTATCCGGACACAGGTGCTGCATGGCCGTCGTCAGTTCGTGCCGTGAGGTGTATGGTTAAGTCCTATAACGAACGCAACCCTTGGGCTTAGTTACCAGCATTAAGTTGGGGACTCTAGGCCGACTGCCCGAGTAATCGGGAGGAAGGGAAGGATGACGCCTGGTCGTCATGGCCCTTATGCCTTGGGCGACACACGTGCTACAATGGCTAAGACAAAGGGATGCCAACCCGCGAGGGGGAGCTAATCCCAAAAAATTAGCCTCAGTTCGGATTGGAGGCTGCAACTCGCCTCCATGAAGTCGGAATTGCTAGTAATCGCAAATCAGCCATGTTGCGGTGAATACGTTCTCGAGTCTTGTACACACCGCCCGTCAAATCACGAAAGTCGGTAATGTCTGAAACCAACTAACTAACCCGCAAGGGAGGTAGTTGACAAGGGTAGGATTGGCAATTGGGGTTAAGTCGTAACAAGGTATCCGTAGGGGAATCTGCGGATGGAAAAAATATTTTATATAAAACGGTTCTGTCCGGTTTTGAAAGGTATACTATTATAGCTTATGGAAAAATCTTGCAAAAAAAAAAAAAAAAAAAAAAACTAGAATTTTAATTGCTGGCTTAATAGTAATAGTTAGTTTAGTTGGAATTAGTTCTCTTTTCTTTTTTAATAATTCTGGTCTCTACTTGACGCCAAGAAAAACCAAAAAAACCAGTAAATTTCCTCGCTCAAATGACCAAAACGATTGTCCTTATTTAAATTACCTAAATGATTCAAATAGCACTGAGGAAAGTCGGGACAAGTGAAGTCAAATCCCGTCGGACTTTGTCATTAGTTTGTGAAAAAAAGGCTATCACTGAAGGGATATTATCCAATTATGAGATTGAAATCTACCGGAACCTGCTATCCCAGATTTAAAATCAGAGCAAAGAATTGGTGTAATAAATGAATTATTTGTCATGTTTAATACGGACTTATTTGATAAAAATATTTCGGAAAGCGAAAAAGAGAAAATGCCAGAATGAGTCTAGTAGTTATTGTGCGGAAAATTCCCGGCGGCGGACCAAAAATTAATATTGATGAAGGAATTCAGGAGGCGATGCTAGGCAGTGAAAGTAATACCAAAAAATATTGTCAAAAAGTAATCAATTTTGCTTTAAGTCAAGAAAATATTAATTCGTGCCAGTGCGAAATATCTCTGTTATGCTCGCTGGGAATAGAATACTTTGAAAAAGAACAAAAAGTTGCTTACGGGAGAAGTCACGGAAAATCTTTTGGGAGTGCTATTTACTTGGCTTTGTTAAGTGCTTACTATCAAAAACCTATTTCTAACCGGGTTGCTGCCACGGGCTTTTTGGGAATGGGCGAGAAAAAAGGAAAAATTGCTACTTTTGCCGACCGAGAAAAGCAACTCAAAGAAAAAATCCAAGCTGTCGAACAAGAACTCGCTGGGGTCAAAACTAATGCGAGTAGTCAGGCCCAAACAATAAAGCGTTTAGAAAGGGAAATAAGCCACTTAAAAACCCATGAAAAAAAATTACAAGGACAAAGAGAGAACGAACAAAAATCAAATTCTTATCAACTGATTAAGGGTCAAGAAATTAACTTAGTCCCCGGAACTAATTTACCAATTACCGGCCTCAAAGAGAAAGTTATGGCTTGTGCTGAAAAAGGTATTAATAAGGTAGTGCTTTCCAAATATAATTCTTTCCCCCATATTTTAGCCCAAAAACTCAAACAAGACTTTGTCAAAAAAGAGTCTTTAGAGGGAAAGTGAAGCTTAGCCCAGGATTACCAATTAGAAGTTCCGCCCGCAATAAAAGAAAAAATGAAAGTTTATCTTACCGAGAATGCTAAGGAGTTGCGAGACTTACTTTTCGCAGGTAAATTATCCTAAAAAACTTATTAATGGATAGCAAAAAGATTAAAGATACTCTTTTATTACCGAAAACCGATTTTCCGCTCAGAAATAATAACCATTGCGAAACCGAAAAAAAAATCAGAGAACTTTGGGAAGAAAAGCAGATTTATCAAAAAATACTAACACTTAATAGAAATAATAAGCCTTTTATTCTCCACTCTGGTCCGCCTTACGCTAATGGAAAACTTCACATTGGACATTTTTTAAATTTCACAATTAAAGATATCATTGTCCGCTTTCAGGCTAATCAGGGAAAATACACTCCTTTTTTACTGGGCTGAGATACCCATGGATTACCAATTGAGCACAAAATGATTCAAGCTTACCAAGGTCAAAAAATAAATTTACGGCAAGTCTGCCATGATTTTGCTCTAGAACAAGTTCAAATCCAAAAAGAACAGTTAAAAAAATTAGGACTTTTTACTGATTACAATAAACATTATATTACTCTCAATAAAGAATATGAGGCCGAGCAAATTCGAGTTTTTGGGGAAATGGTAAAAAAAAATTTAGTTTATCAGGGATTTAAACCAATTTATTGGTCCTGCGGTCATGAAACCGCCTTAGCCGAAAATGAGATAGAATATTACGAAAAGAAAGATACTTCGCTCTATTTCAAAATTAAATTGGTCAAAACTCCTGATTTTTTGGGTCAGAAAAGCGTTAGTTTAGTGGTCTGAACTACCCAACCGTGAACCATTCCGGCTAATCAATTAGTAGCCATCAAAAAAACGGCTTCTTATGCTTTGGTTAATCACAATAATGAATATTTAATAATTCTGGAAAACCAAATCCCTCTTTTCGAAAAATTAAGTAAAGAAAAACCAAAAATAGAAAAAATACTGGCGGGAGAAAGATTATTAGGGTTAACTTATTCTCATCCTTATCAAAAAGACAGAAAAGGATATATTGTTGATGGCAGTGATTTTATTGAAGAGGGAGAAGGGACGGGGATAGTCCATTTAGCACCCGCCTTCGGAGCGGAAGATTTTGCAGTAGCAAAAAAGGAAAAATTAACGATTGAATGTCCGCTGGAACCGAATGGTTTGTTTAATAAAAAAATTGTGGTCTCGGAATTGATCGGCAAACATTATTCAGAAGTTAACCAGTATGTTATTACTGATTTAGAAAAAAGGAATTTAATAGTAAAAAAAGAAATAATTTCTCATAGTTATCCCCATGATTGGCGTGATAAAAGTCCGTTAATTTATTGTTTAACTAAGCAATGATTTATTAAAGTAGAAGCCATAAAAAAAGAGTTATTAGAAAATATTGCCAAAGTAAAATGACATCCGAGTTGAACCGAAGAAAAAATGAAGTTAATAATTTCTGCTCGTGAAGATTGGTGTATTTCCCGCCAAAGAAAATGAGGCGTGCCAATTCCAGTTTTATATAAAAATAATGAACCAATACTTAACCCCGAAATTATTGATTATGTTGCGAAAATAGTTGCTAGTAGTGGTTCTGATTGTTGGTTCGATGGCAGTATTTTACCGCTTTTGCAGGAAAAATTTCCTGGTTTGATAAATGAAGAAACTGTTTTAGGAGAGGATATTATGGATGTTTGGTTGGATAGCGGGGTTTCTCATCGTTGCGTTTTCACCAAAATTTATATTACGTAAGGATTTAAAAAATAATACATGGCTAAAGAATCACCTGAACAAGATACTGATTTTTCATTCTCGTCCTTTTAAAAATCAATCGAGATCCCTTAATCGCTAAAATTTAAATTTTCCCAATTGCTTTCTTTTTCGTAAACATACTCACTATTCCTATTTATTTTTCAGTTCGGGTATTTTTCAATGACTATTCCACCAACTATTTTAAAATTATATTTTGGCTGCTTTTCTTTAATTCAATTTTGAAGTGCATTACTCTTATCCACGGTTTCTTGACTTTTTGCCGTAATACCGCTTTTTGTATCTAGTAGGTAGACTTCTCCTCTTGTTCTGACAATAAAGTCAGGATAGAAGAGTCTTTTTTTCTTTTCTTGAGTGTCAAAATATTCAATCGCAAACGCACTTCTTCCATAACTTTGCTTGTGTCATCAAATAACATTGGGATGCAATTCTAAGAACCTTATAAACTTCTTCTCGTTTTCTATTCCTGAATATTGTTTTTTATTATAAAATTTCTCGTAGACATTTTTGTTTATATCCTCAATCTCCTCATAATCTGCGGTAAAACTAATGTTGTTTTCAGGTAATCACAAATCAAAAACTTCTTTTTCTTCTTTCGCTTTTATCTCTATTTCATATTTTTTTCTAAATTCTTTCAAAGCCTTATTGATAGCAGATTTTAGATAGTCATTCTTTTTTGATAACTGATTAACAATAATTGGATAATAAACTAATTTATTAAATCCAAATCTCTCTTCAAATCAGACATTTAAAGCCGATTTTAATTGGCTTCATGAACTTGCTGGATTGTATTTTGCTTCCTCATCATCTTGATTTTTAAGTTCTTGGAAACAAAGCAAGTTATAAAGTTTTTCTACTTCTAACCGGGAAAAATGGTAATTGAAGTTCTGGTCCTTTCTTTTTATCTCATTAGCAAAATTATCAAAACTAGTAATTTCGGCGTCCACAATAATTTGATTACTTACCTTCGCTAAAGAAAAATCAAGCCTAGTTCCTACACTTTTTTTGTTTTCAGTAAATAATTGAGATCTAGTTCCAAATTCTCGATCCATTACTTCTAAAAAGATTTCTTGTCATAATGGAAGAATAAGAATGTCAAAATCAGTTCGATAATGATAAGTTGTTTCCAAGCAAATCCTTTCAACATCTTTTTTTAGTTTAGTAAAATGAACCGGTATTTTATTTTTGTCTTCTAGTTGGCTAATATCTCTAATATGATTCTTGTCGTAATTAGTGAAAATATAAGCCTTGTTTAGTTCTTCCCTTTCGTAATGGTAACCTTCAGGCATCCTTTTTATCCTGCCGATTATTTGGGTGCGAAAAATTGGGCTATCAACCTCACGAAACATTACTAGTATTTCTGCTCGTGGGCAGTCTCAGCCGGTAGCCGGAGCCACTTTGAAAATCATAAAATTAACTTCACTATTATTTTTTTCAATCATGTCTAAGTTTGTCTTTTCATTTGATAACCAAATAGCAATTTCCTTTCCTTTGACACTTTTGGCTTTTAAATATGACAAAACAGAATTCTTTCGATTAGTCTCTACCTCCTCTTTTTCCTTAAAATCGCTTGGAAGTTGAATTAAAACTAGGGGATTTATATCAAGCCCCAAACTTTCATAAATTTTTTTAAGTTCTAGTCTCTTATTATAAGCCAGTTCCAACATTATTTCATCCTCCGAAAATTGCTTTTTTTCGGATAATTTTTCAATCTCCTCCTTAGTTTGAATAACAATTTTTTCTTTGATTAGTCCGCTTTTCTTTACTTCTTTCTCTGGAACTTCCACAAATCCAGCCCTTTTTTGTCTAACCTCGCTAATACCTGGCTCGATTTTAGGAGTTGCAGTCACTCTAATGATAATTCGTGGGTCAAAAAGGTTGATAACCTCGTTAGCCAGTTGAGTATCGGTTTCAATATGAGCCTCATCAACAATTAATACTAAATCCCTTTCCTTTCTGGTTTATCTAATAAAGTCATCAAAAATTGCTTCTCCGCCATATCCAACCCCACCACCTTTTCTTAATTTTTTTGATTCTTTATTAGTTCCTTTTATCTTTAATCAGTTAATGAAGAAGACATTGTTTTTGTGAAGTTTTCCCTCGTTCAAATTGTTTATATCTTTAAGGTGCATGTCAGTACCTTCATTAAAATAATGATAAAGTTTATTTTTGGATTGCAAGTAAGAATCATCACCACCAAAAGATATTCATATATAGGCTTTGTCTTCATGAAATTGATAGTTACCATCAAGGCATCTTAAAAATTCAGCCATCATTATGGTTTTTCCGGCTCCGGTAGGTGCTTTAAAAGTAAGCGGTATTTGGTAATTGCCAGTTTTTCACAAATCTAAAAAGGTTAGACTTAATTCTTCTACTGCTCTATTTTGAAAATCTTTTAAATTTATTCTTACCATATTATTTTTAATACTTCGTATAAAATATCCTCATTTATTTTTCTTTCAAAGTTAAGTTAATTTCCTTATATATTTCGATAATTGGCTCGGGAATATCCTCAATAGTGATATTTTTGTCTAAATGGAAGGATTTTTTATCTACTCTCCCGTAAGAAAAAATATACAAGGTTGTTTTAACTTTTTTTAATTTCTCAGTCAATTCCGTAAACTTTTTCATATTTTCTCGAAAATAAATTGCTGTTTTTCTTGTTTTATCTTTACTCTCAAACATTTGATAATATTCGTCACATTCCGCTTCTTCAAAAGTATTTTCTTTAATCGCAATCATTCACCCCGCTTTTTCGGTTAGTTCATGTCTTTTTCCATCACTTATATTAGTTAGTTTTTCAACAGAAATTAGGTCGGTTTGGAAATATTGAAGATTACCACCAAGTCCTTTTATTTTTTCATCCACTTTGTTTTTTTAACATAACCTTTGATAATCTTTTCCAAACGCGGATAACAAACTTCTTCGGCAATTTGCCCTTCATTATTAGTGCAAAGAATAAACTTTCTTTGGCTTTTTTCTTCCTGGTTAAGTTCTAAAACTGCCTCGCCAGTTGTGCCAGAACCAGCAAAGAAGTCCAAAATAATTGCATCCTTGGGAGTATGAGTTATTTCTATTAAGTGAATTATTAATTCTTTGGGTTTAGAATAAGGAAAATCTAGCCCTAGGTTCTTCAAATAATTAGTTGCTCGGCTATTCAAAAAATTTTTGTCTACTAAAAAATTTCTTGGCTTAACTCCTTTTTCTCTTCTTGTTTCCAAATAACTTTTTACATAAATATTGTATTTTGACTTTTTTCCATCTTGGTCTAATAAAGGAGAAGTTTTTGTTTCTTTGAAAACTAGTAAATTTTTGTTTAAGTTAAGAGTTTCATATGACCATCTTCATTGTTTATCAACACCATTAATCGCACTTGAAACTGATATCCCTTCTTTTTTTTGTGGAGCAAAGTTTTTCCGGGCGGAATAACTAAGGACCCATCCGGACATTGAATATAATATCTAAGGTTCATTCGCGTTTCTAAACTTGATTGAAATAAACCTTTTTCTTCGTATTTTCCATTTTCGTCTTCTTTAGTATAAGAATCCTCATCAATCTCGTCATAAAAATTACTAGTATCTATCCGGATTTTATTTTTAGCATAGCAAACCACAAAATCGCAAGAAGGAGCGAAAAACTTTCCTTGATTGCTACCTGCTTTCATTCTTCTTGCCATAATAGTTAAAGAATTTTCATGTCCGAATACTTTTCCGCATAATAAAACAAGATTGGCGAGTTCTTGTTCTCCCATGGATATAAAAATAATTCCTTCCTCTTTCAAAAGATTTTTGGAAAGTTCTAACCTCTTTTCCATCATGTTTAACCATTTGGCATGCTTATATCGGTCATTTTTATCGACAAATTTATCATTGTATTTTCACTCATCTTCTTTTCCAGTATTGTAAGGAGGGTCGATATAGATCAAGTCGATTTTTCCTTTGTGAGTATAGCTGAGGCAAGTTAAAGAATGGTAATTATCTCCTTCAATTAAAATATTGTCATCGTTATTGCCAGTTTTAATTTGCTTTTCATTAATTCTTTTAAGTATTGGTAAATTATTTTCGCAGTCTAAAACTACTTGTTCGGGCTCCTTCTCTCTATCCCAAACAAGGCCATATTTTTTTAGGTCCAATTCTTTCTCTTGTTTTTCAATAATTTTTAGTAATTCCTCCTTGGAAAGACGATCATATTTAGTCATTAACTATATGTTTAATTTTTACTAAAAAGGGATAAGAAAGCACAATTTTTACGTAGTGGTATGATTATTATGATGCACTTTTTTCTTGTCTCCTAATAGATTTTACATCAAATCGTAATCATAATTAACCTTATTATAAACAATAAAATTGTGTCTTTCGGTAGTTAGTATCCAAAAATCCAGGTAATTTACCTCTGCTTTTTGAATCACTACTAGTTCCTGATTTTATTTAACATTTTAAAATAGTTATTATAATATGAAAATAAAAAAAGAGCAAGAGGAAATTTCTATAATAATAAACAACCGTAATCTTGAAGACCTAGAGTTTAAGTTTGTCAGAAAGGGAGTAACAATAATTATCGGAGAAAACGACGTTGGAAAGTCAAACATTTTAGACCACATATATTATAATAAAGAAACGCAAAAAGCACTTAAAAGTTCCAAATCATTATTACCAACTGATAAATTAAATGATATTTGGTCAGTAGCACTGGGGTCAAAATGAAAAAAAGAAGGCGTTTGAGTTCATGGAGATATTGCTCCCGGAAATCTTCTTGTGAAGAACGGAAAACTTTGCGGAGTTATTGACTTTGGGATGCTTGGAATTGGAGACCCATCCTGCGATTATGCAATAGCATGGACTTTTTTTGACAAAGAGAGCAGAAAAACATTTCTTAGAGAGTTAGGATGTGACAAAGATACTTGAAACCGAGCAAGAGGGTGAGTGCTTTGAAAAGCACTGATTACATATAACCAAAAAGACTTGGCAGAGAATGCCAAGCATACCATTAATGCTATTTTAAAAGACTATGAAAAAACAGAATAAAAAATGCCATGAACGAAAATAATAAATCTTTACAACAAAAATTAATTGAGTATTTTGGAACCCAAAGAATAGAAAACACTCCCCTTCCTTCAATAATAACCAAAAATCTTAATCCAAAATTTAAACTTCGTGATTATCAAAAAAACGCTTTTTGCTATTTTATTAACTATTGAGAAAATGAAAAATTTACGAGTAATTCCAGCCAACACCAACTTCTCTTTCTTATGGCAACCGGTAGCGGCAAAACTTTAATGATGGCTGGATTAATTTTGTATTTATACGAAAAAGGCTATCGTAATTTTTTCTTTTTTGTTAACAGCACTAATATTATTGATAAAACTAGGGATAATTTTTTGAATGATGCTTCAATTAAATACCTTTTCAATAAATCTCTTTCTTGGAATGATAAAAAAATACTCTTCAAGAAGTAGACAATTTTCAAACTACCGACAATGACAATATTAATATTTGTTTTGAAACCATTCAGGGGCTTCATACTCGATTAAACACTCCGCGAGAAAATAGTTTAACCTACGAGGACTTTCAAGACCAAAAAATTGTTCTTATTTCTGATGAAGTCCATCATATCAATGTGGAAACCAAATCTGGTTCACAACTTTCAAAAGAGGAAAGAGAAGAAATAAGTTCCTGAGAAAATACGGTCAATAAAATATTTGCGGCTAATTCGCAAAATGTGCTTTTAGAGTTCACTGCTACGATAGACTTTAACAATCCTAATATTTGAAATAAATATGCTCCTAGACTTATTTTTGACTATCCTTTAAAGCAGTTTCGCATCGACAAATATTCTAAAGAAGTAAAAGTATTGCAAACGGATGCTGAACTTTTTGACCGTGCTCTCCAAGCAGTATTACTTAGCCAATATCGCCGCAAGATATTTGAAAAAAATGGAAAAGTAGTAAAGCCAGTAATTTTATTTAAATCTAAAACTATTAGCGAGAGCAAAGAATTTCAAAACGAATTTATAAGAGGCATGGCAACTCTTACAAGCGATAAACTTAGCAAGATTGAAGTAAATGCTAAAGACGAATTTCTGACAAAAATATTTAAATATCTTGCTAATAATAATATCTCCTTAGATAATTTTGTTATCGAAATTAAAGAAGATTTCTCGGCCGAAAAAACTATTTCAGTAAATAGTAAGGAAGAAAGCGAAGAAAAACAATTAGCAGTGAATACTCTCGAAGACCCTAATAATGAATATCGGGCTATCTTTGCGGTTGACAAACTTAACGAAGGTTGGGATGTGCTTAATCTTTTCGATATTGTTCGTTTGTATGATACTCGTGATGCCAAAAATAATATACCCGGACCAACTACTATCAAAGAAGCTCAATTAATCGGGCGAGGAGCCAGATATTATCCATTTAAAATTAATGATGCTGATGACCCTTCCCAGCGAAAATTTGACTATGATATTCAAAATGAGATGAAAATTTGTGAAGAATTATACTATCATAGCAGTTATAATCCAAGATACATTCAAGAATTAAATTCTGTTCTAGCAAAAACTGGAATTATCCCTGACAATACGATTAAAAGAAAACTTATCATTAAAAATGAATTTAAAAATACTGAATTTTATAAATCAGGTCTTTTGTTCCTTAATCAACCAGAAAAATATCCCCGAGAAGATGTCTTTGAATTGCCATCTTCAATACGGGATTTTCCCTACAAAGTTTCTCTCCAAACCGGACTTAATCTTTCCCGAGACCTCTTTGCAGAACAAACTAAAAAGGGTATTGAAACAAAAGAAAAAGATTTTTGGATAAAAGGTTTAAGACTGCAAATTGTCAAAAAAACTCTTTATAAATTTGATTTTTATTCGTTTTCCAACTTGAGAAAATGGTTTCCTAATCTCGAGAAAATAAATGAGTTTATTGAAAAAAAGGAATATTTAGGAGGAGTTAAAATAACTGTTTCTGGCTTAGCATCTCAACTGGAAAAATTAAAGTCTAATGATGAACTTGACATTTTAGTAAAAGTGGTTGGACAAATTGCTTCTAATTTAGCTTCTAGCCATCCCGAATTTAGAGGAAGTAAAGAATTTAAACGCATTTTATTAAAAGAAAAAATTAGCGATAAGGAACTTAATTTCGCTTCAAACGAAAGTGGAGATAAAGAAACGGGAAAATCAATGAATAACTTTCAGGAGACTAAAATTCCTTTAGATCTTAGCAGCAGGCCTTGACATGCCTTTAATGATTGCTTTGGAACATCGGAAGAAAAATATTTTGTGAAGTATATTGACAAAATTTATACCAAACTTCAAAAAAAATATGATAAAATCTATTTGGTTCGCAATGAACGTTTTTTTAAAATTTACAACTTTGAAGACGGAAGACCTCTCGAACCTGATTATGTACTATTTCTACAAACGAAAGAAAACACTAAAAGCCTTTATTATCAAGTATTTATAGAACCGAAAGGTAGTTATCTGAAAGAAAGAGATGCTTGGAAAGAAAAATTTCTTTTGTCGCTTAAGAAAGAAAACAAAATAGAGCAGTTATGAGAGGATCAGAAATATATTGTTTTGGGCATGCCTTTTTATAGTAACACAGAAGAAAATGATTTTAATAATGAATTTGCAAAAGAATTGTTGTAATAATATTTGGCTATATGAAAAAAAATAATGATATAAATAACAAGAAATATTTGGTAGGACTAGGTGGATTCGAACCACCGACCTCACCCTTATCGGGGGTGTGCTCTAACCAACTGAGCTATAATCCCATAGTGTTTTAAGAGAGAATATTAGTATAAAAACTATTATTTTTCAATATTTCTTTTAATTGTCAATAATAATCAATTTCCGCTTGCTCGCTTAGTTGATAAGGAATTAATGCTCGTCAAGTGCTTTTGGCTTGAATTATCGATATTTTTTGATTGGCTGCTATAATATTTTTTAGCATATTTATTATTTCTTTGTCCGAGGAAATCAATTCTTTTTCTTGCTCGTCATAATTTACTTTTTCTCAACTATCGAGGGGCAAATTAGCGAGCAGATACTCTTCTAAATTATTTTCTGCCTCACTTTCTAACTTTAAAACATGAATTAACTGAAAATAATTAGGGAGTAAGGACAGTGGCATTTTTTTCAGTTTTAAATTTTCGGCTTGTTCCTCGCTAATTCTATTGTTATCTAAATAAAGCCAAATCCCAAAAGGCGCTTGGTAAAAAACTCGGGAAGAAGAATTATTGTCCCCTTTATTTAATTTAATTTTTTCTCAAATTTGATATACTTTTTCCTTGGGAAATTTCTTTTCGCGAGCAATAATTAATATTTTTTCCGTGATTTTTCCTTCTTCTTTAATTATATTTTCAATTTTTTTCCGTAATTTCAAGAAAAGCTGGCTGCGGGCGTTGTCTTGTCTATCTTTACGGTGTTTAATATTTGCCGAGTGAGAGTGTCCTGCCATTGTTAAAAATTAGAACTTGTTAGTAAGCAATATTTTAATTTTATTAGATTTATTTGGTTAACTGATAGAGGTTTACCCACTTATTTTATTTTTTTTTTTTTTTTTTTCCCCGAGGATTAAGTAATTTACTAACTATTACTCCCAAAGTAATGACTACCAGGATTGG